AGGAGAGACCAACTGACTAAATCTTGGGACTAAAAGTGACGACTAAACTTGCTAAGAATATACAAATCTTGCACCATTTTAACTTTGATTTCTCAGTATAATAACCAGAAAGTATATATGCATTTTAGCCCATGAATATAAATCAATTGATCACAAAAGCCGAAAGTGCAAGTTGCAGAATAACAGAAGTAACAGAGAGACTCATCGTCAATTAATTTTTTCTTGAAAACAAAGTACCTAGATGTGCTTATGTGCAAGTTGCAGATCAACAAAAGTACCGGTGATACAGAGACTCGCTGTCAGTCAATTTTTTTCTTGCGAACAAAGTGATTATTTTGCTTGTCCATATCAGAAATGACACACCAAGATGAATAGTTATAAAATTAGAATGTAATATTAAATCATTTGTATGGTTAATGAATATAATCTTGTCATGGGTAGTCCCAAATAATGCTTATTGCTTAGTTTGAGCAAACTGTTCACACACACTTCATTTATAGCCTGTACAAAGGGTTTAGACCAGGTCTTAATAATGGCCATGTTAAGGAGCTGTGAACATGTGAAATTATAATAGAACTCATTGTTTTCCTGGCAAATTCATAAACTTAATATCATGTGACTATACTAATTCAAAACATCAAAATAATGAAATTACATGTAAAAGCCAGTGAAAATAAATAGTTTTACAGCATTATCCTCAGGGCTGATCCTCACCTATCGATGTCCATGTATTTCAGTTCAATTTGGTCACTTACTATTAAGTGATCTACTGTCATTAGATAAAAACAAATTGAGCAAAGTCTAACCTTCAAACGGCAACTATGGGCTATGTGTCATTTTCAAGGGGGTCTTTGTGTTAAGATACTGAACCATAAAAAATTCAGCTGATCCTACATGTATACTTACTATGAATATAGATACATGTATGTAGCATGACTCCTGCAGAAATAGTACTGTAGAATCTGTATTAGAAGGCACATCCCTAATAGACAAGATGCACCCATTCTTTTTGAACAATTGAGACGCAAAAATTTTTTGACTCCCGTGTGCGATGCACAAAAAGGGAGTCTTTGCAGTTAGTGTGTGTGTGTGTGTGTCTGTGTGTGTGTCTGTTCCACTGATATCTCAAGAACCATACATTGATTTATCATTTTTGATGAAACTTGGTGCATAGATGCTCTGGGCCAATGTGCAGATTTGATTAGGTTTTGGAAAAAATTCATGCATATTAATTACCTAATTTGCATGATAATTAGCTGATTTTTAGCTGTTGCATGACTGTTTCACTGATATCTAAAGAACCACTCATTGGATTTTGATGAAACTTGGCACATAGATGCTCCAAACTAATGCGCAGATTTGATTAGTTTTGGGTAAAAATCTGTACAATATTAATTACCTAATTTGCATAATGATTAATCAATTTTGGCTTTTCCACTGATATCTCAATTACTAATCATCACATTTCAATAAAACTTGGTACATAGATGTCATAGGACACTGCACAGACCTGATAGTTTTTAGGGTAATATGAGTACATATTAATTACCTAATTTGCATAATTAATTAATTTTCAGCTTTTGATATTTCAAGTAGTAATCATCACATTTCAATGACACTTGGTACATACTGTGGAATACTTTATTTTCGCTGGAATTAATTTTTCGCTGAAATGCTTTTTGGGCGTTTTGTATGGAATTTATTTTCACTGATTTTTGATGAGTTTAATGTGAATATAGGGAAAAAAGTATATGGC